CATTCCAAGCCAGGCGCTAACTGTTTTACTCCTCGACAGCACTCAGCCCACCAAAGGTGCCCACCACGGGATGGATCCAGGTGTGACAGCAAATCCCGTCAGGCTGTAAAGCTGCAGTGCAACCAGTGTGTCACACAGGAGATGCCACAGCCTCCTCACAAGATCAGTGGCCATCTATCAGTTCAACAATCCTCGTCCCATCACAACTAAAGAAAGAAAAGATTTTACATAACTAATGAGCCTCTCTGCTCCTTTGGGTCACAATCTGCATTTTAAGTGTCTACATCCACAAGTGCAGTGCAAACTGAACCTCGCCGTGTCAATGTTACTGAATTCTTGGTAATTAATGGGGATTTTTCAAATTGTCTGAATCTCTATTTAAATGATTTATATAATGGACCTTCGGAGTTGCTGTTACAATCTATCACATTGTAATGAAGGAACTTAGGTGTGTTTATTACCAATTTATGGAGAAGATGGMAACGGGAGGTGATAAAACTTTTTTGTCTCTTGGTTCCCTTGCAGGTCTAATATTCTGTGACTGGAATAAACAGGACACATCTTGACASGGCAGACACGTGTGGTCTGAAGCCAAGGGTATTTCGTTTTGGGTGCTGGCCAGTCCCTCGTGATTTATGACATTAGTTCGTTATGAATTGCTGTAAGGAAACCACYGCTCACCCACGAGCTGGTGCTCTTTACTCTTCAATTTTCAGGAAGGAGACAGCGTGTGTACCAGGAATGATAGAACACTGCTCACTCCCCACCCCACCCCCCAACGCTYGGAAAACAAAAGGATGGTTTAGGATTAAGAAAAGGAGAGGCCTCTGAGCTGCACGGGTGTGTTTTAGGAACACACCACACCAAAGCAGCAAGAGGAGGAACAATATCCCGTCCCCTATCAGTTAGTTAGGCTGGAGATCGAGAGGGTTAGCACAGTTCTCGTTTTGGTTGAGACCAAGTCTTGGTCCAATCTCCTATGCCTTAAGTCTGTTGAGTTCAGTGCCTAATAAATGGTACTCAACAAACAGAATTTAGAGCAATCTACATAAGAGGTTAAGCGGTACAATAAATATTTWAAAAATAAAATCAATAATCAATAAATCTTTATTTGAAGGTTATAAGAAATAGGGAGGTCTTTTGCAATTACAAGATATTAATAATATGATTTGAGGTCTTGGGAACAATACCATTTTTCATTATTTTCATATTCTAATTACCTTTCACATTTCTTAAAAATTACAAATGCACAAAATGATAATATTTCATCTGACATATTTTGAGAGAACACAAAGAAATCTACTTTCTAAAAAACTGAACATGCCATACAATGATGAATAAATAACAGTATTTCCTAATTCAAGCAAGCTGGGTTTATGGAAGTATGGGTTATTCTAGACATAGGGAGTTCTTTATACAAGTATTTTTACTTTTTTAATATTTACTTATTTTTAGTTGTACACAACGCCTTTGTTTTTATTTATTTATTTTTATGTGGTGCTGAGGATGGAACCCAGGGCCTCGAACGTGCTAGGCGAGCCCTCTACCACTGAGCCACCACCCCAGTGCCAAGTATTTTTACTTTTATGCAGTTGGTATCTTTATGATAAACAATAGTTAAACTTAGAAGTTACTAGCTGGTTGTATGAGGTCTGTGAGATTCTCTGCTATAACTTGAAAGTGTCCCTCGAAGTCCCTRTGTTGTGATGTCATTATGGTAGAAAGGGGTTAGTCATTGCAGGAGGGGTTCATGATAAAAAAATAAGTTTGGCCCTTTCCCTACACACACACATGCACACGTCCTCCACCACCCCCCTCTCTTGCTTTCTGGTTTCTTCTACCATATGACACAGTAGAAAGACAGAAAGACCCTCACTATATGCAACCCTCAACCTTGGTCTCCCCAGCCTCCAAAACTGTGAGAAATCCATTCCTTTTCTTCATAATTACATAGTCTCTGGTATTCTATTATAGCATTACAAAAATGAACTAAGGTACCCTCAAAGGATTTTCTGATTGAAGCATTAAAYTCCTTACAGTATATATCTGCTGTTTTGATTCATTTGTTTTCTTTCCTCCAAAGTACTTTTCAAGTTCTTTTATCAAGACTTAATAAAATATAAACTTCTTTATTTTTGAATGTCTGAAAATGTCTTATTTTATACCAATTTATTTTTTCCTTATTATATTTATTTAGGAATGATTGACATACAATGAATGGCACCCATTCAAGTGGATTTTGTTAAATGTAAATGCTCAGAAAACTTCACCGCAATCAAGATGCAGAACATTTCCATCACCCCTAAAAATTCTTGGTACCTATATRCAGCCCATCCTTCCACCCCATCCATAGGCTACAGATTTCTCAAATTATAGAACTAGTACAATATGCATTCTGTTGCATTTGGCTTTAACGTGACTTTGTATCTGCATTCAGAATGACTTAATGGCTTACTCATGTTGCTGTTGGTTTCAGTAGTTGTTCCTTTTTATTGCTGAGTAATATTCCACACACTCTTTACCTATTTACCATTTGATAGTTTGTGGGATTATTTCCAGGTGTTGGCCACTGTGATTAAAGCTACTGTGACCATTTTTGTGCAAACATTAGTGTGATATGTGTTTTCTTTTCTTTGGGATGGACACCTAGGAATAGAGTGCCTGAATATGACTTGTAGGTATGCTCAACTTCTTAACAAGTKAGTAAACAGATTTTCAAAGTCGTGACATTTTATGTCCTCAACAGCAGTTCCACTTGTCCTACCACCTTGCTGGCACTGGGTATTTCATCTTTTAAAATTTTAGTCTTTTWTAGTCTGGTGGGTTAATATGTTTTCTCACTGTGGTTCTGTCTTTGCACCTTCCTGACAGCTGATCACAACAATCATATCTTTAAGTCTTCATTGATCATTTTATTTATCTTCTTGTGAAAGTGTTTGTTAAATTTCTTCTATTTGGGATCAGGTGTTGTCTATAGATCCTGGATGTATGCCCTTTGTGCWCAGCAAATATTCGCTTCCAAAGCTTCTTGTTTTCTTAATGGTATTTGTTTTTTGGAGGGCAAAAGTGTTTAATTTTGATATATTTCAGCTTAACATTTTTTTTCCTCTTACACTTCATGTTCACTTATGTCCTGAGAAATCTTTGCTTTCCTAAGATCATATCARTTTCCTCCTATGTTTATTCTATTTACATATTTGAATGTTGCTGTTTAGGTAACCTGATAATGGGTGTTCCTGCTTTGCTTTGTGGTACTTGAGTTTTGTTGGTTGGTTTGTTCTGTACCTCCTCYGAAAACACCATCGCCAGGTTCAGAGGTCGGCCTTCAGAGTGGTTTTCCCTCAGACCTTCAAGGGGTCCTTCCATCAGAGGCACCTGCAGAATCTGCCCTCAGCCTGGCTGCAGTTCCTCCGTCTTCCCCTCTTCTCTGAGCTCCTCTGGTGTGAGGTCTGGGTGGGTTTGTTCAGTTTTGTTTGTTGTTTTGTTTTCTTTTAGTTCTGCTTAACAAAATGCCTTTTTCATGCCAGGATTCATGTTTACCTTTAATTCTGGAAAAGTCTTAGCCATCTTTTCAAATATTGCTTCTCTCCTATTCTTTATTGTCTTCTAGAAATATCCATCATAATGACGTGTAATCTCTCAGCTCGCCTTCCACTTCCCTCCTGATTCAGACTGTCTGTGGCTTTCCAGGTGACAGGCAAAGTCTGGCTTCCATCTCAACCTCTTCAACTACACCCAGATCAGTATTTCATTTGTAAGATCTGATTTTTTATTTTGATGACTGTACTTTCATTTCCAAGATTTCTGATTTTTATCTATATCCACCTTTTCTTTCTTGCTTGATTGCCTTTTTTTTTTAATACTAGGGATTGAAACCGGGGGCATTTTACTGATGAGTTACATCCCTGGCCCTTTATTTTATTTTATTTTATTTTATTTTATTTTATTTTATTTTATTTTATTTTATTTTTTTGAGACAGGGTCTTGCTAAGTTGCCCGGGCTGGCCTTGAACATGCAATCCTCCTGCCTCAGCATCTGGAGTCACTGTAGTACAGATGTGCTCCACTCTGCCCAACCATCAACATCTATTCTTGATCCAATTGCCTGTTGAATTCATGTTTTATAGTTCTTTCTGTAACTTATTGAAGGTCATAAATGTATTTATTTTAAAGTAATTTTCCTACTTCTCTATTGTTTACAGTTTTCAGGCAGGAATTCTTTTGATCTTGTTTGAGTGTTGTTGTGTATAGGTATTGCCTACCTCATAGCCATTACCACCTCTCTGAGGACAAATCCCGGCTGTAACCTGAATGAATGTGTCCTGCCAGGAGATCACMGCTGGCTTAAGGCATTTGTGCCCATTTGTTTCCCCTTGCAGGACGTCAATTCTCTAGGTTCCCTTGGAGCCAAGGGGATTGGGTAACATGTGACCCAGTTTTCCTAACAATATGCAATGGAGATTCTGCTCGGGGCTCCTGAAGGGATGGGAATTATGATATCTGGAGCAGCAGCAGCCATCTTACAACCCTAAGGCATAAACAGTAAACTCAAYAGAAAAGCGATTGCTGACAAGAGCCTGGGTCCCTGGTGGCATTGCTGAGCTGCAAGATCAGCTTCTAGTGTTCCCATTATTACAAAAAGTAATAAGCGTCTGTGGGGTCAAGGCCCCAGTTTCTTTCGGCTTAAATCATTCCCAGTAGCACAGGAGGCTCTTTCCCTCCCAGCCTGGTGCCTCCGCCGGGGCCTCCAGAGATCCACAGCACAGAAGCACTGCTGTCCCGTGCTGGGTCTTCCTTCTTCCCAACCCCAAGCCAGGACAGAAGGTGGTCCACCTCCCAGTCCCACGGGTGCTTCTGCTTGCAYGTCACCACAGGTAAGCAGCCTGCTCCCTGCTGGGACCCAGGTGGGTTGGCTGGAGCTTTGTCAGCTTCTAATCTCATGCACAGGACACTCGGGCCTGGCTTCAGGACAGGAGTCCCAGGGGAGATGCCCCACTCACCTCCTCTGATAGAGTCCCGGCTTGAAAGTCTGTGTCCTGAGGGCAGCTGTCTGCCCACCGACTCCGACCTCTCGCCCAGCCAGTGCACTTCTTAATGTTGCAGGGAGAGGTCTGGCATTCTGCAGACAGGACTACTCTTGTAGAAATCTGGCAACACRAAGAAACTAGAATTAAAAGCCAACGGGACCCGCCACCACTGTGAACATTCTGATACATTTACTTCTAGCTGTTTTTCTATACACATCTACAAACATTTTGTTTCATAAAACCATGGTGCTAATGTAATAGACGGGGTTATAGCTTGCCTTTTTACTTAATGCATTAAAGATGCTTTACGTAGATTATCTAGGTAGAGATACAGCATCTAGATCCACCCTGTTTCCCTGCTCCCTATTATGGAGTCTTTAATTTGTAACTACTATACATAATGTTGCATGATAAATATTTCAAGATTTCCTTAGAAAAAGCCCTGGAAGCAAGATTACTTAAACAAAGGGTCTAAACATTTTAAATACACTTATGTACACATATCTACACATATTGCCAAAGTGCTCTTCCAACAAATGTTCATCCTCACAAACTCTGGGTATAATGTTTTAAACTTGCCAATTTGATAGACAAAAAAGACTCAGTGTTCTTTTAATTTACATGTCTTTGATACTCATAAGTTTGAACATTTTTCATATGGTAATTAGCCATTTGTCTGCCTCCCCAAGCATTTTAAATAAGATTGTATTTACTTACAACTTTGCAAAGACAATTATTTCACAAATCAAATCAAAATACTTTTTATGCAAAGTATATAAAGCCACCTCAGAAGAGTTTGTGTTGAAATCTATTTCACAAAGAATATCCCTCTTTTTCAGGTTGAATGTCATCTTCATTTTACTTCTGGTCCAAATTCTAATTGCACTCAGTTGTTGGGTAATTTATAATCACAGATGTGGGAGAATAGAGAATATGTATAGTATATAGATACAAGTGGCCAAATTATTTGTATATGTATATTTGTGTGTGTATACATGTATGTATATATACCTGTACACGTATACACACACAAACAATTCACATATATAATTAACCACAGATGTGGATGATTTATTTGTAAACATCRATATAATTATGATTTCCATAATCCCTGGTTATGTACAAACTTATTTTGAAATACATTAAAAACTGAAGTGGATACATCCATTTGGAACTTTTACCATTTTGTCTCATAAACCACAAATCAAACCTAAGATGTCACTTGGAATGGACTAAAGACAGCTAGGTCTTTGATTTAAGAGTCTCCACTCTCAGTGATAAAGCAGTCGGCCTTAAATCCTGCTTATGGAAACTGAAATACTGAATTATTCGGAGAGATTATTAGGGGAAATGGCCAGATCACAGGTAGATTTTGAGTGAAGTTATGAGGAGATGGGGCACTCTTCTGCAGAGAGGAACAAGAAGGGCTTGCTCTGGAGACAGCAGGGGAGACAGTAACGTGTGAGGCTTGGAGAAGCCTGGCTTGGCTCCGGGCTCAGCCAAGCCTGGGGAACATTCTTGCACAGGCTCCTGGACATCTCTACAGATAATGGGGTTAGAATGGTAGCCTCCTCAGAGTTTCTTTGGGGATTTAAAATCGTGCATATACACTACATTTTCTTTTTCCATTCATCTGTTGAAGGGCACCTAGGTTGGTTCCATAGCTTAGCTACTGTGAATTGAGCTGCTACAAAAATAAATTCTACTGTCATGTATAACTAAAAAGAACCAATTAAAAAAAAAGACCCAGGAACACAGGCACCACAAAACAAGTTGTGAAATAATAGTGAGAGAATTTTATTTTAAATAAAATATGTATGTGTGCAAAATTTTTAAATCTTTAAATACACTGCTACACTGAAAATAAAAATAAAAACATGCATAAAGCACCTCATCTCRGGGCCCAGCTCACCTCAACAATGACAGGCCAGACCTCCAGGAGGGGGATGGGGTGGAGCCCATGAGCAGGGTCCAGGCCCACAGGCAGGCACCTGGGTGGCAGGGACAAGGTTCCCTGTTGCAGAGGAGCTTTAGGGCAATACTTGAAGTGGCTGAGTCCCTTCTACAATGGTGGGTGACTAGATGAAAACACCAAACACCTCCCACCACTGTGCCGAGAACAGCAGGTGGAAAAGGTTTTACTGCAATGAGGAAAACTCCAGGGCACAGGGGGAGGGGCTGGGACCTTGTAGGATACACAGGACCTGGGTGTCCAGCTCCAGGCCAGGAGTGGGAGCCAGGCAGGTGCGCCTGGCCAAGATGTGTCTTAAGGGTAACTTATCGGCCTTGAGATGGGCTCTGGAGGTAGCTGGGAAGTCATTAAGCTTTCATGCTGCGTTCCTGGGCTGTCCTGCGGCTGGGCCTGGTCCTACACTTTGCACAAACTCTCGGGCATCACTGTCTGCATCCAATGGGGGCCCAGCTTCTCAAAGGAGGCTTTTCTTCACGATGGAACCAGGCCCTCTCTGAGGTTTCCTGAAGCATCCTGGCATTTTCACACTCCAAGACCCGGCTTTTCTAAATTGTAGTCACAGCTTATAAGGGTTCACACATTGGGTCTGCCCAATAATGCACCTGGAGGAATACTCAGGAGTCACCAGATCTGTAGATTTTATTATAATAGGGTTTGCAAGTCCATAGTGCTCCCCAGCTAAGCAGAGAAACCCTGCTACCTGAACCCCGTCCAAGTCAGCAAATGTAGATTTGCCTCCCACTTGCCAAATTTAGGTGAAAGTCTCATGTTAACTCAAAGTTAGGGGAAAGGCTCTACCAGGCTTTGTTGATTTAATATTTGAAACAGTTTTTTGTTTTGTTTTGTTACCTGGAATTGAACCTGGAAGCCCTTAACTACTGAGCTACATCCCCGGCCCTTTGTATCTTTTTATTTTTATTTATTTATTTATATTAGGGCCTCACTAAGTCACTGAGGCTGGCTTTGGACTTGCGATCCTCCTGCCTCAGCCTCCCAAGTTGCTGGGATGTGTGCCACTGTGCCCAGCTGAAACAGTCTAATTTCTAATTTGCTTCCTTCCTCCTTTCATGTGTTCCTTTCTGCTTTTGCACATGCCATGTTACAGAAACATTCATACTATTAGGCCAAGTTCTCAACATCCTTCTTCTCCATCTGTGGAAGCCTGGGGAAAATGACACCAAACAGCAAAGATGAAAATCTGAGCTTAACTATCAGCCACTGTCCTAAATGCACCTCTTGATCATTAACAAAGAATCAACCCAAGGAACCTGGAGCTATTCTCTCCATTGTTTTCCTATCAATTTTGTTTCTTATGAACTTTTTCATGTCTACAGAGCAAGTTACAAATTCTCTCTCAAAACAGGCTTGTAGGACCCAGGTCTGGCTAAGTGGAAAAGCAAGGTGTCTATCTCTCCAAAGCCAATTTTAATCATTTAAATTTGAACTTTACCTAGATGCTTCTTAAATAGGAGAAAATCATGATGGGGTTGTGAAGCGTCTACGTGAGAAATGTGTGAAAGTTCAATCTTGTGATCATAGTTGCCTCATCTATAATAAGATGGCACTGACATTAATCTCACCTGCTTTGTAGGATTTTGCCAAATGGGTGTGTGTGTGTGTGTGTGTGTGTGTGTGTGTGTGTGTGTACACAGAGACTCACTGCCTAACATGCAGTAAATACACAATTATTTTATCTCCCTCTCTGTTTCTTCATTGTTTTGATCTATTTTTTTTGAAACAAGAAAAAGGGATTGTTCCCCAGAGAGCCTTGAAAATTCATGATCTCTGTGCGTCCCACTACCACACCTCCAATTTCCACTCAGGGACTCCTCGGAATCTCAGCTCTCACCTTGCAAGGACATGGGCTTGCAGCCAGAGGTACTTAATAAACCTTTACTGGTGATGAGCCAATATCTGTCACATTGCAGCAGCTTTATGGACCTGCCTCACTCACAAAAACAAGAGCCAGAGCACGTGAAATAACAGCCAGAGGTTCTGGCACGCGCTCTCTGGACTCCACCAGGACCACCTGCCAGGCACCAGCGTTTTTCTGGTTGTCTCCCAAGCCCATCACCTTCTCCTGGGGTTCTCCTAGCACTCTCTGGATGGCACCGAGGGCCAGGGTCTGCTTGGTTTTGTGGCCCATTTAGGRTCCATCTTTTTAGCTTAACTTCTCCCTTGCTCATGGTTCTGGCCTTTACCTTGCACTCCCTTGTGCTGTGACTACAGAGAAGCTCTGCCCTCCCTCTGCTCTGTGCAGGGGAGGGGACCAGACAGTCAGAAACTTCAGGACATTAGTAGGTGTGGCTGAGTCACAGAATGCACTAGAACAAGTTCTATGAAGACTGAATGCAGGAGCATTCTAGATGAGCTGGAACAAGCAAGGTTTGAACTGCTCATCTGCAGGATGGGTCATCTGGGTTGGAGCCAGAGCATGAGTGCAAGCCCAGGAAGGTTCAATGAAGAGCTGGCATGTGGGGCCAAGAATCCAAAGATAACGGAGCCTGGACTGCCTCAGCCATACAGACATGCCTTCAGCCAAAGATCCAGACCCAGTCCAAACCCAAGGTCTGCTTTAGCAGGGGAAGAACAGGTGATCCAAGAGGTCTAAACAGGCATGCAGGTGGTATCCAAGGAGATGACCCAGAAATAGGTCTAGGAGGTGGAGGAGAGGACAAAAACCTGGGCCCTGGGACAGACTGGTGTTTGTAATCACGTTCAAGGTCATGATCTGAACACCTGAGACAGCGTGGGGCCAGGTCTCCCCAGAGGCCCCTGCAAATGAAGAACAGGGTTGTCTCAGAGTTGAAGCAGCCWCAACCTCTAGGGTTAGCGAGATGGATACAAGAGCAGGTACCAGGCAGGTCATCCATACCGTGGTTCCCCGTCTGAGTCAGGCCCGGCTTCAGAAGGTCTCATGGTCCTCTTTAAGGAGTTGCATCTASCAGGGCCCAGCCTGCACCCAGCAAGCCAATGAGCAAAAAGCCTAGGAGACTGAGATTTCTGAATGGGTCCCTCCTCAGCCAAGCAGGCATCTTGTCTAAAGAGTGAGAATTGTTGGGGGAGGAATCAGGGGAGAATGTCAGAAGCCAAGGAGAGTTTCTAGGCCTGTCTGAACCCCAGGCACTCCGGAGTGGCTGTCACTCCAGACTTCCCTCCCCTAGGGGTTTGGACCAGCAAGAAACAGTAGGAAGCTTAGTAAGACACAAAACAAGGTTGGAGGTGAGAGGGCAGCCCCAGCACCCACAGGCTGGAAGGCAGAGTGGGCCATAAAACTCACTATGGCACCCACACCTGTTTCCTGGCCTACAGCTGTCTTACCACCACCCAGTGACAACAGCGCCCAAGGCTGGGCATCCTGAGGAGGCCACAGTTGTCACCAGGGCACGTTCTCACCGCACCCTCTCCACCACAGGGGTGGGGATACGGGAACTCCTCAATCCTGGCTTCTCATTCGCCCTTTATTCTTATCTATTCAGGACACTTGGGCCACTTGCAGTTAGATCTTTCACCAAAATGGACGACAGCCACTAGGAGCCCAGTTGCCCATCTCCCAGGCTCTGACTGTGCCAAACTTACACCCAGCTTTCTCACTAAGTTGAGACTCAACTTCGGCCTGACTCTAGGTTCTGACAAGCTGGCTGCCCTCGCTGGATCTCCTATCTCCACAAACACGGGCTTCTGGAAAGCTGTCACTCCCGTCCCCTGGGCCAGCAACCGTACAGTGACAACGCTCACTGCTGCCGGTACTGTGACTCTCCCACCAGGGAACGCTGCAGAAGGGAAGGAGGAAAGGGCTCATAACTAAAGAAGCGCGTCCCTAGGAGCCCAGCACCGCTGAGCTCCTGATGTCTGAGATGCTCTGGATTGAAAAGAGGCATAACGTGTATTAGCATTCTCAGCAAAAGCACTTTAGCCAATTCTGTTTTCATATTCCTCAACCGATTCCTCCGAAAATGAAAGTAAAAATAAAGCACTACTCCTTACAATTTCCTCAAGGCCTTGGAGTCTGGATTAAAGAAAATGTACTGACTTTGCTGACCTTGGCAATGGCGTCCAGGGGGTGGGGAGAGGGAGTTGCCGCGCTCAGGCCTTGCTTGGGTCCTAATAGCCCAGCTTTGCCTGTGCTTTCGATATTTTCTTTCAAACTTGCCATTTTGCTGTTGCAGCTGGGCTTGTCAGTTCTCAGTGCTAATGGATTGTGATGGGGTGTCAGGGGAAGTCAACAATCAATGCTTGAAAAAAATGGTGGGGGTGCGGGGGCCCGTCACTGCTGACATGGCCAGGAATGGAAATACAATGGCTTGCTTTTGTGGAAAAACAGTCAAGAAACTCTGTGCTGTGTTTTGCTTTTTAAGATCAGTGTAGATTTTTGTCCTTTGAGGACTGGACTCTCTGCCCTTCCCCCAATTTCAGTTTGACTATCAAAAACACCGTCTCYAGTTTTTAAATAACCAATTTACAACATAGTTAAAATGGGTGATTCATGTTGCGGGTTGTAGTTATTTCTTGCAGGAAGATGAAACGAGATAGGGAAATGTCCGCTGAAGCGGAGGCACGGAAGAAATGGTATGAAATGGCTGGGCCACCTTTGAAGCAGGCCTCTGTTAGGAAAACTCATTTAGACCCCAGTGCTGTGTGACATGAGAACACCATTAGAGTAATACTTGGCCTGGGGATGCTAATGTGAAAACATCAACGCCTGACTGCAGTTTACACCAGCGCAAGAATCTCATGGAAAATGTTTCCACTAATTCAGTAGAGCCCTGTTATGATGTTGGCGTCAGGATGCAGGAATGATATCTGCCTCCGGTTGCTCTGGTCAACTCAAATAGCAGGGCCTTCATGTGAGGACTAATTTGAACAAGAATCACATGCAACATAATCTGTGATAGCAGAACACTTTCTAAGTGAAAGTTTGTTGTATTTATGGATGTGAATGATATTTAGGCCAGGAATCCCAAAGTGGTTATTAAGTAAAATTATTCCAAGCTGACTTTATATAACACTTGAGTCCCTGAGAAGTTTTGTGTGACTTAGAGAAAACTCAGAATTGCATCCTGATCTATTCATTTTGTAAATTCAACGCTGCATAGATCAGGTTTCCTTAAAGGAAAATCTGTCTCTATTCTCTTAGTTACAAAGAAAAGTGTAGACAGAAAGGGTCTAAAGTTGTAAAAAAATGAAAAGCTCTGTGACCCCCCACCCATGCTGTTTTCTCCCCTCTCTATACTTCGCGATCCTACCCGCCTTCTATTACTTTCCTTTTTCTCCTTTTTGTATCATCAGAATCTTACTGAGCATATGGTATTTTAAAAATCAGAGCAACATAGCACAAGTGTAATCTTTTAAAATACCACCCACCAGGAAGGTAGAGCAGGTGTGCTTTCCCTGTTTCCCTCACGAACTACAGCCTGAAGCGCAGGACATGGGGACCTGTGTGCCTATAGCGAGAGCGGGRGAAGACTGGAGGCTGGAAAGAAGGAAGCGGGCTGAGCAGAAACCTTGGGACTCTTGAGGAACCACTGCRCCGGGCTTTCCTCCGGCTTCCGGGTTTCTTTTGTCCTGTATATCACAGACCTGCCCCTGAGGAAGCTGGCAGCCCTGAAATGCCAACAGATACACACAAAAATGGCCCAGAGAGGCCTYCCCTCTTTAACCAAAAGCCCACTGAGCTAGATGGAAAACATTTAGACAATACCTGCTGTCCTCCAGCCCCACGCCACAGGAACCTGGCCCCACCCTGCCCCAAGTGGCAGGAGAGCCTGGACCTCACCTTGCCGGGCTCTGAGATGTGCCAACACCCTATCAGGGTCGTGGCAGAGAAGATGGAAGAAGTAGTCAGGACATGGGACATCTTCCTCCAGCCAATGACACGCAGATGAGAAAGCAGAAACCCTCACAAGAGTGACAAGGGACCACAACCCTACCTGCACCAGTGTGACCACCCAGACAAAATGGGCCACTTCCTCGGAAACCCCACCTATCACAACACTCCCAGTATTAAATGGTAATTTGAATAATCACATAACTATTCAGAAAATCCAGTGCATAATTTTTAAAGTCCCAACTATAGGGTCTTGATTTAACATCCGAACAGCCATCTTCAATGTTAGCCACCATCTTAGGAGATAAGTTTTGCTTTCCTGTACTTCCTCTTACCCGAACTCTCCTGTCCCCATTAGTGACCTACCCCATGGTACCATAACCTAAGCCAATCCCAGAAGGACAGACCCCTTTGCTCTGGAAAGCCCCACGGTGCCATGACGCAAGCCTACCCCATAGCGCCACAGCTCCAGCTCYACCCCTACCCCACAAAAGCTGAGCACAGGACATCTCGGGGCCTCTCTCTCCTACAGAGAGAGGGCCTGTATTTGTCAGCTTTGAATCTCTGCCTGGCCTCCGTCCCTCATCTCTCATCTGTCCCCTGCTTTCTCACTTTCCTTTCACCAACCAAAAAAAATCTCTAAGCCCAGATGGTTTCACTGAGAATTGTACCAAACACTGAAAGAAGAATTAATACTAATTTTATGTTAACTCTTCCAGAAAAAGAAGGAGGGAACAATTCCCAATTTATTTTGTGAAACTAGTGCTACCCAATCCCCAAAACAGCACAAGAAAATACAAAAAGACAGTTTAAGAAAAAAGAAAACTGAAGACCAATATTCTTCATATTAGAGATGCAAAAACATAAAAACATACATACCTGACCAATGGGGATGCAGGTCTCATTCAATATTCAAAAATCTATCAGTGTAAACCACCCTATGAACAAGAACAGAAAAGTCACAGGATCACATCAATCAAAGGAGAAACGCATTTGAAAAAATTCCATACTCATGATTGAAAACAAAACAAAAACAGAAAACAGCATCCACCTAGGTCTTCTATCACCAATTCCCTTTCTCCATTTACTGGCTRTATGATGTTGGGCAAATTATTTAATATAAATTTCAGTTTTGTCACTTGATACAAAGGGGGCAAAGAGTATAGTAACACAGCCACATCAATATTTATAGCAGCTCAACTCACAATAGCTAAACTGTGGAGCCAACCTAGGTACCCTTCAGCAGATAAATGGAAAAAGAAAAAGTGGTATATATACAAATGGAATATTACTCAGCTTTAAAGAAGAATGAGATTATGGCTTTGGCCAGCAAATGGATGGAGCTGGAGAATATCATGCTAAGTGAAATAGGCCAAGCCCCMAAAACCAAAGGCCAATTGTTTTCTCTGATATGCAAATGCTGATTCACAAGAAGTGGGTGGGGCTAGGGAATAATAGAGTTACTTTGGATTAGATAGAGGGGAGCAAAGGGAGGACAAGGGTATAGGGGTAGGAAGGATAGTAGAATGAATCTGACATTATTACCCTATGTGCATACACTGCACAACTGGTATGATTCTATATCATGTACAACCAGAAGAAAGAGAAATTATACTCCATTTATGTATGAAGTGTCAAAACGCATTCTACTGACATGTATAACTAATTAGAACAAATTTTAAAATATTTTTTATAAGACAAAGGGGGCAAACACAACACCCAGCTCACTGAGCTGTTTGTGTGTGATTATAATGTAACTAATGAAGTAGGCTTGTTTATCAACATTAGAAGGAATGGCTTCTCTCTGCTTTGGTACACTATGAGCAAGCATTCATATTTTGCCTACAAAGTSAGGTAGGACCGTTGGAGTTCAAGAATCTGCCTACAATGGTATCTGGAAGTGCTTTTTAATTCAGAAAGATATAAAGAACACAAAACATAAATTGTGGGCAAATAAAGTAAAAATAAAATGAGTAGCATGTATATTTTACTCTATGATTAATTTAGGCAATTTTATATATAATAAACAAGAAATGCTATCTAATATAATTCTGGTATGTGTTGCTRTATACTGCTTATCATTTCAGGGTAGGAGAAGTTGAAAAGTTTTAACCAAAAAATAATAATAATATTAACAATAATGAAAGGACACATCTGGTCTGGTTCATATGCCCTTTTCTCTTGCATTTTCCAAATTTTGCTAATCCTCTTCTACATGTCCAATGAGTTCCTTCTCTGTGTCAAGTTGTACAGAGTAGATATTGCCTGTCTCATTGTCCTTATTCCTGTTTGCAGAGAATCCTTGGACTTTGMTGGTGCACATGCCACATGTAYAAACTTATTGGTCAAAATTACCACTGCAGCCTAAGCTACCTACTGCAAAAATGCCTGCCTGTTATCACGGTCAGCCCTCTGTGTTCATGGGTTCTGCCTCTGTGGATTCAGCCAACCACAGACTTAAAATATTTGGGGAAAATATTGTGTCTGTAACTGAACATGTATAGGTTTTTTTCTCATGTTACTGTTCCCTGAACAATACAGAATAACAATAATTTACACAGCATTTACATCCTTGGCTACTATAAATGATCTAGAGATGATTTAAAGTATAGAGGAGGATGTGTTAGGTTATATGCAAATACTTTGACATTTTATGTAAGAGATTTGAGCATCCCTGGATTTTGGTATTTTCAGGTCCTGAAAGCAACCCCTACAGACGCCAAAGGACGACTGTACTTAATGCCACAGGATGACTTCCCTCTCTTCTAGGGCAAGCGATTACAGGTATGCTCTGTGACCTCTGCTTAGAGTTCTGCTCTGCCAGTCTCTGTGCCCTGCATCTGGACTTTCCACAATGGCACTGTGCAGTTAATTTAGGCAATTTTATATACAACAAACAAGAAATGCCATATAATATAATTCTGTGTTCTGTTTTTAACCAAATAAAATACTAATCTGAACAACAATGAAAGGAGGTCTTCTAATCTGAGTAAGGGCTGATTCTGCAGTTTTGACAAGAGAACCTTTCTACTTAGGGTCAAAGCTAAAAATAGATTCCACTGCCCCCTACTGCACAGCAACATCTATATCTTGCCATTGGGGGCATTTTGATTAAATATCATCCCTACTTGCAGGAGTTCAGAAGATTTACTATTTAGTCCTTTTAGGTTTATCATGGTGTCTGCCATAAATGCTCAAATTGAGTGAACAAATAAATATGTATTGGCACCACAGGCTGAGCAGACCTGCAGGATCGCACACACGTACCCACACACACATCAAACACCTAAAAATGTCAGATAAACCTGTTTTTAAAATTCATACTCAGAATCAATAAAAGGAAAYCCCCTGATGTAAGAAATCAAGAAAGAGGTGAATGGGAACTGAAGCCAAWCAGATGACAGAGGTGTTGCAAACAGATACGGCCTAACAGGTCTGGGCCTCCAGTTTAACACCTACACAGGAAAAGGAGACGAAGACCTGGGCCCATGCAAGGCACGGAGCTGAAACTAAGCTCCTGTATAAAACGTGGAGTCATGAAGCTTTGCCTGGACTGAGACACTGAATTTAGAAGCTCAGCACATTGGTTTAGAGTATCAGCAAAGAAGCTTACCATCAGCTTAGGGCAGTGGGTAGAAAAAGACATCCACAGGAAGTCGGAGCTGCATGCCTGCTATACACCTGATACAGTGTTCACACGTGTATTACCTACATACTGAGAATCTCAGCTGAAAAATCAATGCAAACATGTACAGCACGTACTCATGGGCATWTATCCAAAAGAATGGGAGATGTGGGTGTMGCTCAGTGGTAGAGCACTTGCCTGGCATGGCGGGCACAAGGCCCTGGGTTTGATCCCCAGCACAGAAGAAAGAAAAAAAAAAGTAAACAGAACAATWGAAGGCAGGGTCTCCAAAAGATATCTGGACATCCACGTTCATAATAACATTATTCACAAAAGGCAAAAGGTGAAAGAAACCCACATGTCCACTGGTAGAGGAAGAGATACATAAAATGTGGTATAAACATACAAGAGATATTATTTAGTCTTAAGCTAAGTGAACTAGATCAGTCAGAAAAAGACAAATACTGTATGATTTCATTACATGGGGGACCTAAGAAGTCAAATTCACAGAAACAGAAAGTAGAATCTTGGTGCCAGGAGCTGTGGAGAGGAGGACATGGGAGTTGTTGTTTATGGACATAAAGTTTCAGTTTTCTAAGATAAAAAAAGTTCTAAAAATTAGATGCACAACAATGTGAATATATTCAACACTTAAAAATTGTTAAGATGGCAAATTATGTTATATGTATTTAATTTTTTAAAATGGTTCAGAACCATTGAAACCCATTAGGACCCAGAAGGTTAAAAAAAACCAAGACTATCTAGACAAGAGCACAGTCAGGAACCTGTGTCACTGCAGGACACAATCCCTGCCAAAAATGAGCTCACACTCAAAGATGAGCTCACATTCAAAGATGAGCCCACACTCAAAAATAAGCTTACATATTTAAAGATGACAGACACTATCAGGAAACAAGTCATCATGGAAAAATCAGCAGAAATGGCAGAAGGAAAAATCTGTTCTCCAGGAGATATGGACAATAGAAAATGTTCCTACCCAAAATATAAAAGATGGTCTATACACCATAATGAAAAAGTAGAAAATTGAGTGGGAAGCAAAATGTAGCATTAAAAAATAAAAGGTGAACTAATAGGAATTCCAGAAATAAGATATACTGTCATTACAATTTTTTTAAATCACTAGATGGGTTAAACACTGGTCTAATGGACATGGCTAATGAATCTGGAAGAAGAGGGTGGGGAACAATATGCTTTATTCAGCCCCAAACCTTTTCCAATAATCCTATCTACTTGATTATTAAAGTCCTCCTCTGCTGAGGTCACCTTCTGGTGAGCATTTACATAAGACACAAATATCTTCACTTCCTTTGCCCATGATTTCTGAACCATGACCAAAGATCCATTCCACAGCAAGATACAAAATCCATCAGTCATCCTCTTATTCATTCTCAGATATTCACTCTTTGGGTCAAACACCTTTTTTTTATCCCTGAAGATATGAATATGAATAAGGCAGATAAGGTCATCCCATTTCTGGTTCTAGTAGTTTATTAACTAGCAGACCATAGACATAAATAAAATAAKCAATAAATAGTAGTTAGTATCTGAAGAAAAAATAATAATACAGAACAATAAGAGAGTAAWGGAGTAGACCCCTTAAGACTAGCATTCAGAAAAGACTCTATACAGGTGCATTTAGCTGAGCTTGCATGAGGAGGTGACATTCAACCAAAGAGGAGAATCACAGACAACGGCTTTGAGAAACAAGAAGAGAAAACTCTTTGGACTACTGTTTACGATGGACATAGGTAGAAAGAAAGGCTAGTGATGTCCCCTTCAACCACAGTGCACAAGATGCCACAGCAGAGCTGTACCCAGTTATTTTCATTACCAGATCACTGTGATATTGTAAAATAGATGTATTTCCCTAATTCCTGGCATGAAAGCTACTAAAATCCTCAGAGTCTCCAGAGTGTGTTTTTTATATTCTAACTAGATGACTGGTGGCTGGCAGCCCCTATCAGCCTTCAGGATGGGAACGGGTCTCAAGAAAGACTAAGGCATGATTTAGGGGGTTGGAACTTTTCAGTCCCAACCCCTACACTTCATGGATGGGAGAAGGGCTAAAGATTAAGTTGATCACTGACAGCCAATGATGTAATCAATTATGCCTATATGATGACACTTGCACAAAAATCCAAAAAGACTGGGTTTGGAAAGCATCTGGGTAGCCAAGCGTGTGGAGGTTGCTGGTGGCCTACTGGAGAGGGCATAGACGCTCCACGTGCCCTCTCATGTGGCTCGCCCTCTACATCTCTTCCCTCTGGCTGTTCCTCTGTATGCTTTATGGTA